TAGGGGCTGTGCTGGTTGTATAGTCTGACCGCTGCAGGAAGGAAGGTTTCTCTCCGTGAGACAGCGGGGGTGCAGCAGCCTGTCGCTGAAGGAGCTACAGTGAAGACAGGGTGTCCTGGAGGGGGTGGGACACATTGTCCAGCAGGGAGGACAGCTTGGATGCCATTCTCCTGTCTCCCACCACCTCCACAATGTACAGTGTCCTACAGTGTCCACCCCCCCCCCCCTTCCACACACACTACTGAATTGAATAACGCCTTGGATTATCAGAAACAAACAAATGTAATGTGAATGCGTCACACGCGTACCTCACAACATCACAGACACATTGCAGAAGGACACTTATATAAGAGTTAACTAATTGCTGGTTTTCATTGCTTGTCTTGTTTTCCTGATGTATCTGAGAATACATCTGCCTGAAAGTATCCAGCTGTTATAATGATCTAATCGCAGCATAGATACAACCAAATGTTGGATGATCATTTGATAATTGAGCAGAGAAAACATTTCCCTTCAACTTTATTCTTTTGGAAATCAGCAGAACATCAATCAACAGTCAAACATTGCAGATGTGTCAAACAACCACTTAATAAGATCATTCTATTTAGTGGTTGTCATTGTTAATGTATTCCTGCAGAGAATCCAATCAAAGAGTGTATCACAAGATGTGAATAACAACTTAATCAAATGCATGCTTGATTAAACTTATCTGATTTAAACAGTCTTCCAATGATGGCTTTGCTCACAGCAATTGGCAAATCATTCCTGTTTTCTTATTGTGGGCAAGTAAGTCAGATCCTGAGGTGAAACAAGGACAGCTCTTCGGGCGTTGTCATATCACGAATGAATTACCTTTTCCTATTTTTCTTAACATTCATGGCGCACTTGGCAGTCAGCGTAATAGCAACAATGATGCCTTTTACATCAACTCGTGGCACTAATGCAAACTCAAAGTCTAAAGCTTACACTTAATATTTCATCATTAGAATGGCGTAGTTTTGTCTCAAAAAGTCATGTTTGACAAGTTTTTCAATCTGGAAGAAAACAAAGATCTTTGTGGCCTCCCAGCGGTCTTGTGAAACAGATAGAAGGTAATGGGATCATTGCCTTAAACATCATGTCAAGTGGCAACTCTGAGGAGAGCCAATAACCAGCATTTTGCTGATGTTCAGATAAGCTTAACCTTGGTCTCTGCTGGAAGTCACTCTGTGTAACCTCATCCAGAGTCAAAGGTATCGCACATTCAACAAGAGGAAGCTCAAGAAACTGCAATGTATTGGGACAATCACTGAAGTCTGTAAAGGCCAAGAAACATTATTCCCTAGTATGCTCCAAGAAGTGAATCATTACTACAATGTGCCAATGCCTTGATCTAAATGTGTTTCATTAATTTATTATTACTGATTAATCCTTTTTATATTTAGGAACACTGTGAACAAAGTGCTGCAAATAATAACTTATAAGCTACAAGTCTTCAGTGAAAAAAGAAAATGAACCCTGTGTCAGGTTAACGCTTATGAGCTCATACAGCTTTCAATTGTCAGTTGTCAAAGCAAGTACATGAACATAGCAGTATTATAGGGTTGCCAAAAATATCACATCTGTTTTATCTTGGCATTTCATTTCAAGCATTGGAACCAATATGTGCTGCAGATCAACCTTGCATGAAACTTTTATATCCATCCATCCATCTTCTCCCGCTTATCCGTGGTCGGGTCGCGGGGGTAGCAGTTCCAGCAGAGAGCCCCAAATGTTCCTTTCCCTGGCCACATCAACCAGCTCTGACTGGGGGATCCCAAGGCGCTCCCAGGCCAGCGAAGAGATATAATCCCTCCACCTGGTCCTAGGTCTACCCCTTGGTCTCTTCCCAGCTGGACGTGCCTGGAACACCTCCCTAGGGAGGCGCCAAGGTGGCATCCTAACTAGGTGCCCGAACCACCTCAACTGGCTCCTTTCGACGCGAAGGAGGAGCGGTTCAACTCTGAGTCCCTCCCGGATGACTGAACTTCTCACCTTATCCCTAAGGGAGACACCAGCCACCCTGCGGAGAAAACCCATCTCGGCCGCTTGTCGTTATTCAACTTTTATAACAAAGTATTATTTGCTGTGGCATCAGGGATGGCAATATTGGTAGTTTTGCCTCTTTGGTCCAAACTGAAAGCGCCTCCAATATAAAGGATTTTATTGTTTTCTTTTTTAAATATTTTATGAAGATTCTGCTGTTTTTATTTTAGTTCTTGATCTTTTCAATAGCCTCTATGTCATGTGACAGTGACCCCAAATCAATGAGGCATTTCATGACTAACCTGGGCTATATTTTAGGCCACCTTTTATTTTATATTAATATTGTATTGAACATTTAGAAAGTTTATTGTAATTCTTTTAGCATAAATCAAATCAAGTTTTATTTATAAGACACATTTAAAAGCGATTTTTGGTCGAGCCAAAGTGCTGTACATGTAATAAAAACACATTACTACAATCACAATAAAAGACAATAAATTACAACAGATATATAAAAGAATAATTCCACATACATAGCAGCTTAGCATGGAGGTTTTGAAAATAACATGGGTTTTGTGGCATTCAAACAGTAATTTATTGATGGTCCCGAAGTGAAGCCCTGTGGTCCCGAGTGAGTGCTCGGATGTGAGCTAACCAGCCAATGACTGCTGACAGTCTGTGAAACTGAGTAAGAAGACTCTGCTGGATCTGGAGGGAAAATCTGTAGAATTTCCAACCTAAAACTAACTTCACCGCGCTCTTCCTTTGCTGTAATTAGGGTCAAATCAGTGAGGTTTATACAAAGAGCATGTGGACTTTCCCCTCACACTCACCAGAACTCACGGGGTGTTCATTTAGCCACAGAGAATTGGTTTAGTAAGAAAATATGTGACATGCCAAATTCATTCAAACATTGGTCAGTGATATCTTTATCACTGCTTAGCCCTGAAGACAATTTTAAAGTTTGCCATCTATTGTTTTTAAAAGTAGGGCAGCTGTCGTTTCCAAATTAAATAAACGGTTTCTCCCAAAGATTTGGGCTTTTTAGAAGCGTGCATTTAGTGGTGTGAGGACAGTGGTAAAGCTAGACTTACATTTTAATTTTTCCTGGTTGGAACGCCGCGTTTTTCATTCTGGCGCACGACAGGAGTCTGATCCCGATGTAGTCCTGTCTTTTGTAGTCTGGATGAGGGAATCCTAACTGAAGGGCTTGAATAACGACCACTTGAAAGAGTCTTCAGATAGAAGCTGTCATTATTTCCCTAAAAGGAAGACAGAGGGCACTGGTAGGTGAGGCCACACGCAGTAAGGAAACATCTTCTTTTTGTTGCCAAGGTTTAAATATTAAAAGATAAGCCTAAAGTCTGTGTAAATGCAACATGTGGCATTAGTGGAGTAGGCATGTCTGTTTCTCTTATTAACAAGGGCTGAATCATTTATTTAGGCAGCTTCCTCCGAACATCCTGGCTCCAGTTAACCAAACTACCCCCTACCCCGGTTTAACTAAGATTACATCCCATCATAAACATGTCATAATAGATTTAGTAAATCAGAGCTTTTAGCTGGGTGCCGCCGTCTCCGATAACCTACTATTTTTGCTGTACGCAAGTTGATTTTGAGATGTGGACATTTTATCAAATATCCGTCATTTCCACATTATCAGATCATGCATACGCCTGCCTGGCATCCAGACTAACCAAGAGTGATGGGGATTCCAACCACATGGCGCTGGGCTGACACTCCAAAAGAGTCCTGCGGTTGGCAGCATCCTCCCAGACCCAACCATCTTTTCAATCTAGTTGCTGCTTTTATAGAGTATCTGTATATTTTTAGAGGAAGAATTGTGACTGTACCACAGGTCGCTCACTGGTCAGGTTCTACAGTGTTGTCCTCTTCGCCATGTTTTTCCATCATTAGGATGTGAACATTTGACGTATCCTTTAGATTTGCAACAATAATGCACCTTTTCCATCAGCTGCTGTTCATCATACTAAGTCTGCAGAGCTATTCCTTCTTCGAGGCCTCTCAACGATCAGCTGTCTGTGGAAGGCCCTCCACTGCAGGACTCTCCCATTTCCTTCTGACCCAGTTTCAACATTTGCATTGGATGCAGTCTTCATTTTGTAAACCCAGTGCACCAAAGCCAAAAATGTGTGATTTATGTTGGACCCCATGTGAACTGGAGCTGTAGTCGAGGTATTGGGCTTTCTCGTGTCTTATAACGTGCTTGTGAAATCAGTAAAAAAACAGGAAAGAAGATTGCTGTTCATCGTTAAAACACAACAATGATGGTATATGGACTTCTTCAAATGGCACATTTTCACTTGAATTGATCGTGATGAACTGTCATATGATTTTGATTGCTATTTAAAAGTTTCCTAGAACAAACTGCAAGTGAAGCTCCAGGAGAGAATCCAATAAGCCCTTCAACATGTGATATTAGATGTTTGTTCCCTTTGAGAACCATTCGTGTCTGTTATGTGTCAGGGCCGTGGCTCAGAGGTTGGCTGGAAGTGTGATGGGGACCCGCAGCCAGGAGAGAAGGCCCTGCAGGATATAAAGGAGAGGAGAGGGCAGGAGAGGAGGCTCCAAGAGATCCAACAGCAGCTGGAGATCCTGGGCCAGGGCCAACATATGACTGTGAGTTCAAAGCAGCTACATTCAGTCACACACACACACACACACACACACACACACACACACACACACACACACACACACACACACACACACACACACACACACACACACACACACGCACGCACGCGCGCGCACACACACACACACACACACAAAAACACGCTCAAATTCACACAAGCACTTACATCCACTGTTTGTGTTGTCGTTATGACATGTGTGTGACAAATTATTACAAGTGCACAGCCCATTGTGTCATTCTCACAGAGGGAAGATAAAAGCAAATGAAATATTTGCAGGCCCATACTTTTCCTCCAGTTTTCTTCTCTCTTATTGGACCAATAAATTCAACTCTTGTTTTGTTTCAAATGCACGGTTTGATTTACATTTGTTTTTAGAGAGGAGATAAATATCTCTCTCTGCTTTGCACAAGGTCTGATATGAGGGCGAGGACGGTCGTATACTCCACTGATAGCCTTTTGTTCTCCACTGTGTTTCATTGCTTTCTATCATTCTTTTTCTGAGATTGGATGTCCGCCCTCTGCAGTGTTCCCTAGAAACCATTGAGCTCAGTCTGCTTTAAGGAGCCTCTGCAGAGTTACAGCCACAGAAGTCTTGTTCTTTCCCCCCATAGTCTGTAGCTAAAGACACAACACAAGAATGTCACGAGAACAAAAGCTGGATAGCTCTAATTTCTGCTTTCTCTGACATTTATGACTTTATATTTTGTGCGAAAGAGAGGAAAACATTTGAGATTGGTTCGACTTTGTCATTGTACCAATGGCATAGCTTCTCCCCGTCATGCACAACTAAGAACATGTTTGCTTTTTCACAGTGCTGCTACACATTTAAATGCGTTACGCTTAAGTTCACCAACACATCAGTTCTCCCAGCAATGAACCGCAACATGATGCATATATTCCTAATATAAACATAAAAGATGCTTACAAAGAGTGTGGTAATAAAAACTTTAAGTGGCAGCCACACCCTACATCAAACAAGGCACCATGCCAGGCAACAAAACCTATTTCTGGCCCAACTAACTTTTTGCGCTAATTAAGCCTATAGCTCAAAACCTATTTTTGGCCCAACTAACTTTTTGCGTTAATTAAGCCTAGCTCTGTTTGAGGAAGCCGTTCTCTCATTATGATCACAAAACATCAAAACCACCAGTGTCTTAACCTATACAGTGAGCTGGTGTCTCACTGTATTTAAAAACTGTCACTCAATGATTGAACCCAGCGAGGGACTGCAATGTAAACAGCACACTCGCTGTGTGTATTTCTTTGTGCCACCGGGCTTGTTTTGTAGTTGGAAAAGATTTATTCGTACAGGATTTGTCTGGGAGGGCATTCTTGAACAGTTTCACACAGCCCCAGTTTAGTCATAAAGTTGATTTGTGTAACGTCCGTAACTCAAATGTCTTCTCACAGACTATTAGTACCTGACCTGTTTGTACAATCTGCACTTTGTGGATGGTTCCCTGATGTATTTTAAGAGCATGATTACTAAGAAAAGATCAGTTTTTGAATTGAATAAGAAGAGGTTCTTATCTTCTATCTTTTTAAAAGACCAATGACAGTCCCATTCCATTAAATGATTTGAACATTTACAAAAAAAAGAATAATACAAGCTTGCCCTGAGAATGCTATTTGTTTTTTTCAAGAAGTAGTGTTTACTTGCAGTCGGTGATGACAAAAGTCTAGAATTTGTTAGAAATAAGTAAAAGAAAATGTTTACGTTAACACACAAGCATATATTGGATATGAGATTTTTTTCCCTCCAAATTGAAAGTATGCAGCTCTATGTTTAGTCTGGCCTGCTGCTGGAGTGTAGCACGTACAGTAAAAATGGAAAATGTTAAAAGGTTGGCCTTATACTGTAACAGTGACCACAGACTCTCTGCTCTAACTCAGTTGAATTTATTCCAGCGTATGATGTTAAGATTTCAAGTGTTTGTCTTGAGATCTACCTGATTTACCTTTTAGCCGTGATTTATTAAAACAAACGCTCTGTTTTGGTTGGATTCAGATCTAAGAGCTGCTATTCTGTGCGTCATACCGGCTTTTCCTTTCTCTCAATCCAAACAAAACTCTCATTCCAGTGAAATCATCTCCTTGCCAAATAATCTCTTCTCTCACCTTTCAGGGTTTTTTTCCCCTCTCACTGTTAATAATATTTGCCTGAGCAGAAAGGCCTTAGATATTTGTGTTAAGACTTACTCCTCTCTTTAAATAAACAGAACACATTTCCAGAAAAAAAGAGATCACTACAGTTATGTTCAACTGGTAAAGCTAAACTGTGATGCTTAACATCTGATCCGGTGCTAATTTTCCTGAAACCTCATTTGGCTAAACTCCTGGATCCGCTGCTAAAGGAAGGACAACCCAACATTTACAGTAGGGCCGGATGGTTCCAAGTGGGCACTCCTTGCTAACATCATTAATCATGCACTCTTTGTCAGTGCACTTTCCCTTGTACATGAGAAATACACAGTATTTTTAAGCTATATTTTTTTTCACTGACTTCTTCAAAAATATCTTGGCAATGTTTGAGCCCTTAAGATCTGTTTGGGATATATTTTATATTAAAAACAATAATAAGTACAGTAACTAATAAACAACTATTATATCCTTGTTTAATACAAAATGTTAACATTAAACTTTGTAAAGACACCCATAAAGTCTACATTTGTTGGGTTCAGGTCAGGTTTACCATAAAAGAGAAACCCTGAAGAAAAGAGATCTTTCTCTCTCAGCTTCTCCCCCCCTCTTCTCTGCTCTTCATCCCACCTTTGGCTACTGGCTTTTAGCTTTTGGCTTGTCACACTGTCTTCTCTTGTTTGCCACTTTATGATCTCCTGAAATAGAGACCGTATTGTGTATGGTTCTATACAAGTCTCTACGTTTATTGTGTCACTGTGTGGTAGACACATGGCCATAGATGTTTATTTTATAAAAAATATGGTATTGTGATATGCGGTAACTATGACCCCCCCCCCTCTATACACGGCTATAAGAATAATCTGTCCATTGCGCTTAACTTAGCACACTATCATGTTGTATCGCCATCTGTTGGTATCTGTAAATGCTACTAGCTATACAAACTGTAGTCAATGTAAATATGCCATATGATGTCCTCTTTGTTTTTCTGTCATGTTTGTATTCATGTTGGAACCTACTTGCAGCAGGTCACCATTGAAAAAGAGGTCAATGATCTCAATGGGTTTTCACCTGAATAAATAAAGGTTTTGAATTGAATTAAATTGAGAGCTAAGGCTGTTCATAACCTGAACAAACACAACTTTTTATCGTTGGTTTTCATTTAGCGTCTCAATCACAACAGCACAGTAAAGTGTTACGGCCCGTCCACACGGCAACGTGCGTTGTTTCAACGGAGACGCTTCCCATTCACTTTGAATGGGGTGACGTCAGGCTTTGCCGAACTGCATTGTGGTTCCGTTGCATCGCTTCAAAAGTTGAGAAAAGTTCAACTTTTCAAGCTTTGACGGAAGCGTCAGCCAATCAAATCATATGGCAGTACAAGCGCTAGCCAATCAAACCGT